TTTACATTTATAATTGATATGTCCATTTTTCGATTTAGTAACTGAATGTGCATAACCAACTTATGTGATAATCTATGCTGCATGTAAGCTATCAATTAATTCTCCCTCCCGCAATAGCATTTACCTAAAGTTTATTTTCTCAATGTATGAGGGATGGAAATCTTTATCAATTCATTTACATTTCATTGCATTTCTAATGATTATTTGTATTACTATAAAAAAGGTATTTATTCTACATTGAATTAATTTAAGCATTAAGAAAAACGCGTTGGAGGTTACAGGTACGTTCCACATATCTCTATTAATACTTTGGTCATTTTTGGAACATAATATGATTACATTTATATGTTAAACTTGATTGTTGAATATTAGTTGATATGTTAATGTGACTCGTATAGCTCCAATATTTTATAAAACACTCTAGTAAGTGATATATACTTTAAGAAAACGCACGATTACAAATCATGATATAGACTTCAACATTATACAAAATATAGTTAAATATTGCTATGAATACACAAATAATTCCTAGTAAACCTCAAATTATTGTAATTATGTACAATGATTTTCTCAAGTTAATCTACTTGAGAGGGGAGAAAACAAACAAAATTTCACAATTATCAAAGTGTCATAAGTCACTATAAGAGAATATGTTTGACGTACAAGTGGGTGTGTCGTGAACTCGAAGTTCCCACATCGCCCACACATAAGATAGTGTGTGTTTATAAGCAGGGCCTGAAGCCCTTCATGTGGACGTGTTTAAAGTCGTGAGGTCCTGAAGTACCCAAGCGGACCATATATTATTATACGTCAAGATAAATCTTACAAAAATATGATTAGTTGATAACTTTTATGTTTCTTCAAGAGAAGCATTAACTAATTGTTAGACTCTCTATATGCATCTCTAGATGGGTGATTTGTATTATTTCTATGAAAGTAACAAATCATTAGATTAATGATTATTTTAGTGATAGATTGTTTTTGTCTTAAGAAATGATGATATAATGTCTGAAGCATTTATATACTTGTGACATAGAGCCCAACTTATATTAACTTTTGATAGAGTCATACACATTAGAAATTTAATCATATTGTAATGATAAAAAGTAACAGAAGCACACATTATATTTATAAACAAGTTGTGCACATAAATAATATTGATAAAATCTCAGGCATTGAGTGTAAGCTCAAAGAAGCTACTCAAACACTACGAAGTAGTAATTTGAAAAGTGATATCATACTTATTGGGTGATAGTTTGAGACCATACCAACGCAGTGTAAATTGTGTTTCCATAATATCTGCATGTAGCATGAAGTTTAAGATTTTTGAATAAATGAACACTCTAAGGTCAACCCAGGTTTAAACCAAATGCCGTATAAGACATCCAATATATAAATACTTCTTAGACAAGAAAATGGCAAGACCGTCTATTCTCCCAATATTTTAAAAAGTGGCTCCATGGGAGTTAAGTGAACTTGAAGTTTCACAATGTGGGTTAATATCAAGTTTGGTCTCAAGATATGTTCTCTTAAAATGTCTACATATAATGAGTGGTATAAGACCATTTTGCCGGCTTCTATGAAATATAGTGAAGAGCATAAGGTAACCCACAAAATATATCTAGCATTATAAGATGAATGTTACGCCTGAGATAAACTGCTAGAAAGTTGATTAAATATATGAAAAAGTCTAGTTTATATTAATTCGACATTTGTTAACAACTAACCCCCAAAGTTTACACGTTAAAATGAGTCAAAGTGTGCCAACATTGAAACCCCACTACAAAAATGATGTACTCGGACCCCAGAAGTGGCTCCATATGTACGTAAATCCTTGTTCAAAAATATTATGGCACATTTCCCGACATTAGGGGGAGATATAAAGGCATAAGCATAATTATATTTTGGAATGTCGGGAAAATATCCCAGAAGGATCGATTGATATTAAAAGAGAAACGTGTAAAATATGATAAGTAAACTGCCAAAGTGACTGAAAGAAATGATTATAAAGATTGAGCTAAACCAATGCATGAAGCATGGTTTGACGGTCATTACGTGTATACAAATAAAATTGGTTTTTATATTAGAAACTCACTTATGCCTCTACAAGAGGATGATATAAGTTCAACGCTGCAGCTGATAAGTTATAGAAACTTTATGATACAGAACATGAATTCCTCTTTTATGACTCATATAGAGGATTTTGATAAAACAGGAATGATATTGATTAGATTGACGTCAATGATTTATTTTCCCATAACTATCGACTCATAATCCATAATAATAAAGTCTGGCCAGATGAAATATGATGGACCTGTAGTCCTAAAATTTTGTGAATTATGATCGATGTTTATGGATGAGAAAATATTTTATATTGGGCCTGAAGTCCCATAAATCAAGATATTGTGTATGGGGTGACAATACTTGAGATTGAATTATTTTGAGACTGCACTCCTGTTAGAGTTTAAAGTTCTGTAAATGTGGTAGTTGATTAGAAAATTGGATGTCATTGTTATAATATCAATTGTGTCCCTGAAGGACAATAGTGAAAAGAAATATGTGCACACAACATGCAACATGAATATGAAATGTTTTATGTTTATAATAATTAGATAAGGTGATTGTGTGTTAAGTTATGGTAATTATATTTGGAATTATTCTTGAAAAAGAATTTGATTGAATAACTGCAATAATAAATGATGCAGTAAATACTAAGCATAGCTGAAAAACATATAAAATGGACGCTTGTGCCTAACTACAACCTGGGTGACTACAATAAGTCTTGATGAAATGATTTATTTTGTAGAAGAACTATGCTTGAATATCATGGTGCAAATTATATTATGTAATATCTTGATTGACAAGGTTTTTGCATCATGTCAAAATATCACTTGTAGTGAGTGCCTCCTGAAGAGGATCTAATGTGAACAGTTTTCTTATTTGTTTTCACATGATTTAATAACTAGGATTTCAAATATAAAGTGAGCTATATTCGTACTACTTCTCAATCTTTCCTGTAGAAAGAGTTGAATGAAGAAAACATTATGCAATGAATTTGCAATTGCTCATAAACCTTCTATTTGTTTACCTGAAGTAAACATATATTATTTTATGAACCAAATTGTATAAATAAAGGTGTTGGAAGCTTTTAATTAAGCGTCTATCCAAACCTAGCTAGAAACAACACATGAGAATCTTTTGATTTGAATGATGTTTGATTATATAATAAATAAAATATCTAGTCATTATATTGTGAACACTTGTAGTGTTTGTATACTAATTTGAGATCCTAGGAGGATCAAAACATGTCTCATTTAAGTTTTATGGACAAATATTTGAGAATACTCAATTATTAAATGTTTGATGTGCATATGAGCATTAACACCAAATTTGATGGTCTTGAAATACACATTGCAGAATCATGAATTTAGACAATTGCTTCCGCTTATCATATATTTTCACCTAAACATATATATTGAGTTGTTGTTGTTGAAGTGGAACAACTAATTGGTCCAGAAGATCATGTGCTATTCTTTTACCTTAGCCAAGTTTTTGTCCCAAAGGGTTTTTCTTGGCCAAAGGTTTTGAGGTATTTTGTGATTTTTAAATAGTGAGGAAGATACATAACATTCAGAAGACTATTATCCTCTAGAAGAGTGATTCTAATATAAGTTCGGAAGATATGACCCTGAAGGTCTTAATCGGTTCTTTTGAGTTCATGCAATTTACTGGTCCGGAAGACCAAAATGCAACTGTACTCTTTTTCCTTAACCAAGTTTTTTCCCACAGGGTTTTCTTGGTCAAAGGTTTTAACGAGGCAATTTGTGATTCTCAAAAAACATATTATGATCTTGGAATATTATTATTCTCCAGAAAAGTGAATTTAAAAGTGATTCAGAAGATTAGGCCCTGAAGGCAAATGACTGCACTGTTTTCCTTTACTAAGTTTTTCCCACGTGGTTTTCTTAGTGAAAGGTTTTTAATGAGACAGTCAATACAACACATCGTTTTACATATATCGTGTACATTTTTCCTTGATTGGTTTTTTCCCAAAGGGTTTTTCCAACAAGGTTTTTAATGAGGCATACACATAGCACAAATATTGCTACAAGACGATTATAACCAAGATGGACTAATTCTACAAGAAGACTTGGAGAGAAATCTTGAAGCGATGTAGTCAACAAGGGGGGTATGTATGCGCTGCACTCTTTTTTCCTTGACCAAGGTTTTGTCCCATTGGGTTTTCCTCATCAAGGTTTTTAACGAAGCGGCATCACCAACACATACAAAGAGAATAAAGTATTTTTTATCTTGTAATGTATTTTATTTAACAATGTACATCCAAGGGGGAGTGTTATGTAATTATGGATGTCCATTAACTCATAGCCCGAGCCCATATGTACTGGCCCATCTGATGATTGTAACCCTAGCTCCCATCCTATATATACATCCTCATATATGTATGAAAGTATGCTTTTTGGTCTACTCTATTACAATAACAATATTGTTTTGTGTTTGTACTCATTTAGTCATTTATAAACTATTAAGTATTAACACACACAATTGTTTAAGCTCCTATGAATCAAATCACTATATTCCATATCAACGTTTACGCAATACACGAAGTACGGTTAAAGGAGTACAATAGAGAGATAATTTAAAACAAATATAATTTCAGGTTTGGTATTCAAAATTAAATGCTTTACCTAATTCTAATATTCTTTTGAAATAGTTTAATCATCATCTTTTTACCATCACAATGCACTCATAGGTTCGTATGAATTTATTAGTACTGTTTTAAGCTTTCTCAGGAAAATCTACATATGTGCATTTTAAGGGTTACTATATAGGTGCATTTTTCTACTTTTATACCTCGCTAATGTACTACGTGTAAAAGTAGTTGTTAGAATATTCTAGAATAGAATTTATTTTTGTATGGGCCCAGCCCACTGGTGTTTGTATATATATCTTGTACTAGTGTTTTGGAAAAGGTGGAAAATATACAATACCTATTATGGTATCAGAGCCTTAGGGCGATAAAACTCCAACCGATCAACTTCTCTACGCATCCCCAAAGTCACCATGACAGGCGGTCGCAGAACAAAGTACGAAGAAGAAGACTCAGCGGCCTGAAATATAATTACTCCATAGAGGCGTACAATTTCTCCATACGATCTGACATCAAGTGATAATCCAGGGAGTATTATTACTCAAGTTCAACTAAGAGGAGACAACTATGAGGAATGGGCTAGAGCAATTCGCATGGCACTCCGGGCGAGAAAGAAATTCGGCTTTGTGGACCGTTCAATACCACAGCCCGAAGAAGACTCACCTGACTATGAAGATTGGTGGACCAATAATTCACTTTTGGTGTCTTGGATTCGAAACACGATTGAACCCACACTTCGTTCGAGTATTTCTTACATTGAGATGGCGAGCGCACTTTGGGATGATATCAAGTCTCAATTTTCGGTTGTTAATGGCCCAAAAAAATCAGCAACTGAAAAGAGAATTGGCTGACTGTAAGCAGCGAGGTATGAAAATGGTGGCATATTATGGAAAGCTTAAGAAAATCTGGGATGACTTTAATGATCTTGATCAGTTTCCAACGTGTACGTGTGGTAAGTGCACGTGTGATTTGTCCGCAAGAATAGAAAAGAAACGGGACGAGGAAAAGGTTCATCAATTGCTTATGGGACTCGATGAAAAGAGTTATGGTGTGGTTAGGTCAAACTTGCTGACTCAAGAGCCTCTACCTTCAGTAGGACGAGTGTATGCTGTACTCACACAGGATGAAAGCTCAAGAAATTATTCCAGAACTCAAAAGGACCGTGGAGAAATCACAAGCTTTGCTGCCCAGGTTGTGCCTCGTGAGAAAGGGCGTGAAATGAAGGATCGTGAGTGTAACACTCTCTGTACTAATTGTCGTAAGCCTGGGCATGAGATAGATAACTGCTTCCAGCTTATTGGGTATCCCGAATGGTGGCCTAAACGCACTAAGTTGACTGGACGAGGCAATGGTCGTCCAAAAAAAGGAGGGGCTGGACGCGGAAGGGGAACTACAGTTGGAAGAGGCCGTGGCTCTTTTGCTGCTAATGTTGTTGTTGGGTCTTCTACAGGTGTTCGAGATGCAGTAATGACTGATGCTGACCGGACTGATTTCTCAGGCTTGAATGACGAACAGTGGCAAACTTTATTGAATCTACTGAGTGCTGCCAAATCTAATCCTACAGAAAAGCTCTCAGGTATTTTTAATTCCACAGGTTGGATCATTGATTCAGGAGCTTCTAATCACATGACTGGTAATCTAGAATTTTTTAGACACGTCTCTGATCTTTCAAATTGTCCGGTTAGTTTGCCGAATGGAGAACAAATTTACGCTACTAAGGAGGGAACCGTTGAAGTAACTCCAGCCTTAACCCTTGACAGAGTTATTTTTGTTCCCAACTTGAATTGTAACTTGATTTCCGTATCTCAGTTGATTGCACAATCCGGAAGTCTCGTACATTTCACCGGATCTATTTGTATATTACAGGACCACACTACGAAGACAGTGATTGGTGTGGGTGAACGAATTGGAGGCCTCTATTATATACGACAACATGTTTTTGCTGCACCAGTTTCATTGAAGGAGGATCAATTTGAGTTGTGGCATCGATGCCTTGGTCACCCGTCTATGAAGATAGTGGAATTAGTTCCTCAAGCTGCCAGACATAGGACTAAGAACTCTCCCATATGTGATGTTTGTATGCGTGCTAAACATAGTCGCAGTAGTTTCCCTCAAAGTACAAATAAAACCTCTGGTATTTTTGACCTTGTTCATGTTGATTTATGGGGTCCGTATTGAACACCTAGTTTTTCTGATTGCCGGTACTTCTTGACAATTGTTGACGATTTCTCTCGTGCAACTTGGATTTATTTATTACATGATAAATATTCTGTGCCATCGACTTTGAAAAAAAATTTGGCCATGGTTTACCGCCAGTTTCGAGTTCTTATTAAAGTTGTGCGTAGTGGTAACGGGACCGAATTTGAATGTATGAATAACTATTTCAACTCTCAAGGGATCCTTCATGAGACCTCATGTCGTGGTACTCCTCAACAAAATGGTCGAGTCGAGCGTAAGCATCGACATATTTTAAATGTTGCACGGGCCTTAATGTTTCAAGCTCACTTGCCTACTGAGTTCTGGGGTGAGTGTGTCTTAACGGCAGGATACCTCATTAATAGAACTCCTTCATATCTTTTATCGGGCAAATCACCTTATGAAATTCTCTATGGGAAAGCACCTCCTTTGAATCATTTACGTGTTTTTGGTTGCTTGTGTTATGTTCATAATCAGGACCGACATGGTGATAAATTTTCAGCTAAAAGTCGACCTGTCGTCTTCGTTGGCTATCCGCATGGAAAAAAGGGGTGGAGAGTTTACTGTCGTGATACTGGAAAATTTATTATCTCCAGGGATGTTATTTTTTCAGAGGATCAATTTCCTTATGCAACTGATTGCCAGGTTGGTTTTTCGCATAACTCTATTTCAGGTCTTGATATTGGGGCAAAATTGTTAGCTGTGGATGATGATGATCCTGCCAGCTCTCCTAGTTCCCAGACGACACATGAACTTCCGCAGGCATCTGTCTTGGATGTTTCAACATCCTCCTCACAGAACATAGATGTTCCTCCAGATGCAGCAACTATACCCGTCACTCAGGAGGATTCTTTACCTGTTGTTTCTTTTGAGAGCTTACCCTGTGACACTCTAAAATTTTAAAATAAAGATAACAAAAAAATAAATAAAGCAGATACAATTTATCTCATAAAATAAACTAGATATAAATTATGGAATGTAAAAATAAAGTAGAAAATAAAATAAAGCATTAAATATTTTTTTGTGGGTATTTGAAAGCATTAATTAAAAATGAAATGAGATGATAGTACGTTACATTTTTAGCTAAGCATATTCGAATGATATGATCACCATACATGATACATCAGTATTCTATATACATACATACTGTTATAACATACTACGTACCTCATATACTCATATGCGCAGGTCTTTAATAGGAAACGGCCAAAACGATTATATTACACAAAAATTCCTAGGCTTAGAATATTGGTTACATATGTATAATTATGGAAACATTGGTAATGGAAATAAATGGAAAAGATTTTTTAACATATGAAACGGAAAATCTAGAATCATCCGTTACATAGGTATATATACGCTTGAAGTCTTGGGCAGCAGTTTCGTATCTGTGAAAAACTCCCTGCACAATCAAACATATATCCGCCGCATATGCATAGACGGACAGTCACACTACTGCAAACCTAACCTCTCTGCGCACAGCAACCCAAACAGCCTGCGTCTTGACCAGAAGCATGGAAGAATGACAGCCTGGTTAGTGTCGGACCACCATACTCACCAAAGAAGGAGACCCAGTTGTACATCGGACTGCCGGAACTCACAACGTCGGAGGAACACTGTCGACGTGCTTCTTCCCTCAGCGAAGTAGAAGAGACCGTAGCCCTACCGCCTTCTCCATTGGAAGAAAAAGCGGGAGCTTGCTACCACCGGAAGAGTTGCGTCGCCGAAGAAGAAGCACCGCCGCTGTCTTGCTGAAACTGTACCGGACTGCTGCCGCTGAACATCTCCGCTGTCGGAATACGAGCTCGTGCGCCAGACGGAAGAATGAAGCTGCCGAACCGTTTCCGCCGATATATATATATATATATATATATATATATATATATATATACTCCGGCGAATATATATATATATATATATATATATATATATATATATATATTCGCCGGAGTACTCCTGCCGGACTGAATTCACGCCGGAGGAGGGGATCAATTCCGCTGCAACTTGAGCGGACCTTCTGTTGCCGCCGGAGGGCCCTACCTGCACACGTCGGCTGAGTTTCGACGGAGGCGACGATTGCACGTAAGCTTTAAAATCCGTAGTCTGCTACTACTCTTTTGCCTTGGGCCAGACATTATAATTTAACAAGGATGGGTTTACTTTATGATGATGAGGCTGGCCTGAAACTAATACTCCCTAAAATAGGCGGTCTGATCTATTATAACAATAATGGTGGTAGCAAATTAGCAATACAAACGATTATAACAAAAATGATACTAATGATATTAAGACTGATCAATGGCATCAAAATCGAGTGAAATGTATCAATTATTATGGACTATAGATTAATAATTTGTGAAATAAGAAGCATGAGAGGGGGATTTATAAATAAAGGGTAGATAAATCATTATGAGATAAAATATTGATATTAGAATTTTAATATTTTAGAAGGTGAATTTGAAGAATATCAAGATAGAAGCTTTGTTTATGAATTATCGCAACTTCAGGTAAGTTTCATTGCAACCAAAATTATACCTTTTACCTCGTAATTATTTTGAAGGTTTTAATGTACAATTCACGTAATGTATTTGTGTGTATTAAATTTGAGTAAATGTTATTCTATATGAAATTGTTTGTACTTGATATATTGATTTGTTATTATTGGATTTTGATACAAGTCATTGTATATGATTTTTGGGAGATTTTCTAATGGTGAATATTTTGGTGGTGTTGTGAGTAAATTGGATTTTGAGAAAATATATGAGAATTTTAGCATATTTTGAAAGATATGAACTTTTGATTGGAATTTGAGAAAACAAAGGAAAGTTAATATTTTTAATGGTGACACTTATGTCTATAAGACATAAATATTGAGTTTTGAAAAGGGAATATAAAAGACTATTTTCATAATTGGGGCACCGCGGGAGAAATCCGAAGGTGTCGGGCCACCTTCACGTCCGTTAACGGTGAGGGAGGGTTAGGACTACTACTACATGAATTGAGAGGTGTGAAACAAATTAATGAATTTTGGAGGGTTCGGTAACCACCCCGAACAACCGGGCATCAGATCCCTTTTTATTAGAGCAGTAGTAGTAGTACCTATTCTCTTAAGGGTCTTTGAACCTAGAATTTAGGGAGTATATCCCATTTGGAGTAGGGAGACGTTGACGTCAGAACTACTTAGACTTCATACTACTCGGAGGACTTGGAATCCCTTTAGGGGGTGTGCACACTTAAGGTAGAAGTCTAGATTCTAATAGAGGAGATGTGGTACCGAGAGCAGATCGGAGTGACTGTACAAAACAACGGAAAACTGGGCTCAAGAATCGAGATAACGCTTGAGCACCGCCCTTCTAAATGAACTAGGAGAATTAGCTATAAAGCTATTTTGAGGTAAATCAAATGTTTTGGCATTTTACTCTTAAAGAGTTGGGTTAAATAGTTGACTAAATACTTAATCATTTTATTTGTGAACTTCTAAAGTACAAATACTTGTGTTATTGGTTTGGAAAACATATTTGTGGACATTGATTATGTGTTTATAAGGATTGTGATAAAGTGCTTAAGTGAGTTTTGAGATGGATATTTGGAGTTGTGTATATGATATATGCTTTGGAATATTTATGAGAATTTTTATTACATTTTGTAATGATTGGAATTATTATGATTTGGAATATTATTATTTTACATATGAATTATGTTATGAGAATTTATTATAAATATTGTTTTACTTATGATAGATATGAATGTTTTGAAAAGACTTTTCCTCCCAAATGGTTTTACAAAAGCTTATATATGTACCAAACCTGATTATTTTATGGGGTTGGGTGAGACTTACTTAGCATTTCCGGCTAATTTTTGTCTCTTTGCTTTTCTTTTCTTTCTGTACTTTATTTGTGCAGGAGGTAAGACTTGAGTATCTATTTGATGAAGATGTTGATTCAAGAGAGATTCCGCTAGAACGCCTAATTAGTAAATCATTGTAACTTATACTTTCAAGATCTTTAGTGAATAATTATTTTGGAGCTTAAATTATTTTGGAGGTGATTAGCCTGTGCACTCGGTTAGGTTAGAACCGAGTGTGGCGTTAACGCCCCTATTTCCCTTTTGATTTTCCGCTGCACAACTATGATATTTTCAAATGAAATTTATAATAAAGTATTATTTCAAAGTGTTTTTGGATGGGAAATTTGGGGGTGTTACAAGTTGGTATCAGAGATTTTGAGACTCGAGTTGCACAGTCTCTGGTTGTTAAGATGGTACCCTTAGCAACTGGTATGGCAGCAACTAGAGTCAAAAGTATCTAAAAAGTTTTATAAACAATTATTATTATTATTATTATTATTATTATTATTATTTTCTTAGGTTTTCGAAAGAGGTTTTCAAAACAATTTCTTTTGATAATTTTTCAAGGGAGTTTTCAATATGCTTTTTTTCTAAAATATTTGAAGAATGATTAAGAGTTTCTAGGACTAAAATAAAATTTTAGGCCGCGGTGAGGTTGTGAGATTTGGATTTTTGGTTTTGGTTGAGTATGTTGTTCTTTTGAATTGTTTGAGATATTCTTTTGGGTTTTGGATATATCCTTACTGACTTATTTAAGGATGACCTTGGAGTTAGAGATGAACTACGCATTAGGTGTTTGCTTGATTAAGTGAAGTTATTAGTTAAGGTAGTATAATTACGGGTAGTACTCGATCTTATTCGTATCACAATCTTTTCAAAGAAGACAACGACACCTATGAGGGACAACATGGAAGACAATGATGCCTACGAGGGACAACGTGTAAGACAATGACGCCACATTGATGAACATGGAGCTGAATAAAGGTTTGAGACAACTTACTCAACACTTCCAAACCGTCGCACATGTGCTACTTCAAAATCAACACCAACATCGTCTTAACAATCGCATTGATGTAGTAAAATTCGTAGTTGGGCATAATCCTCCGACTTATTTAGGCCATGAAGATCGTCTCATCCTTGAGGATTGGATTCTTATTTTTGACAAACTCTGTGATGCTATGACCTGCCGCGCGGATGAACGAATTGATATGACCTCAGACTATC